GGAGGAGCAGGGGACAGCGGGGGTTCTTCACCACCTGCACAGCAAAAACGGACGGTCACCCAAACCCCCAAACCCCCCCGAACGCGGCGGGGGGGGGGGGGGAATTCTGGGAGTTGAAGTCCACAGGTCTTCAAGTTGCCAAGGTTGACAAACTCTGCTCTGGAGCCTCTGTTCCCCCATTCATCCCCTCCAAAGGTCCTGGGGTTGCCACTCCCAGTATTCTGTAAGCAGTCTGGTTCCAGTTGGAGAAGCCTGTTGTAGCTCCTTCCAGAATTAAATCTGCAGCAGAAGGATGGAGTGCCTTGTCTCTAGTACCCCGGTTGGTCACTGCATTCCCACAAACCTGAAACCACCTCCCATCTCAGCTGTTATGGACAGTGTCAGTAAAGCTCATTCAGAAGTGCCCATAAACTATCACAGGACGCTCACGGCAGAGCAAGGGGAGCAATGTGTAACAGTGTGGAGGAGGCATCTCTCCTCAACCAGAAACGCTGGAAAGAGACATGCCTGTTGGCGGTCCTGAAATGCTAGGGGAAATGGCTGTGTGAAAGAGGAAACTAACCAGGTGTATATAACATGAATGATGCTTTCCTATAACTGGTTCAAATGTGGGCATTTTTTTAAATAGGGACAATCAGTTGGGAGGACGCGACGCAGCAGGGTGGGAACAACCAACGGTGGGTAAGGCCAGCAAATCTCTTATAGAAAGTTTTGGAATCAGATCAAAGGACAATTCTACCTGGCAGTCCTCAGTTGAGACCCATGTTGATACCAGCTGGAAATTAAGCTGGTCCTGATTATAAAATGCTATGTACAGGCTACATTAAGTACAACAAATAATACAGAAAATTAAGATCTACAAACATAAATCTGACAAGGACATATATAACAAAGGAAGAAAGAAAGAAGAAAGAAGGAGAAAGGAAAAAAAAGAGAAGAAAAGAAGAAAGAAAGAAAGAAAGAAAGAAAGAAAGAAAGAAAGAAAGAAAGAAAGAAAGAAAGAAAGAA